TGTTTTCTCAAAAGACAGTAAGTTGGAAATTTTAGCCAACGTGGGTTATAAATCAGCATTGGGCTGAAAAACTCAATACAGAGGGGAAAAGCTCATATGAGCACAATTTTCCCTCCAAGAGATTCGCTGTTTGGTGCAACACTAGCATAGAGAAAAAAAACGAGGTGTTTGCATTTCGGGCATCTTGGAATTTTTTTGATGATTTGATGACGCAGGTCGGTACAGCGACGTTTATCCTGTCGAATTTCTTGGAAATGGTGTAATTTAAGGAAAAAAGTCATTCTGTAAAAAGTGCTTAAAATTATATAATGAGTTGATTTAAGTAAAAAAAATCGGACATTATGGTCCGTTTTTCATATTTCGAATTCCGGATTTCGCTGGCCAGGTTGTACCGACCTACGTCACAGGGTAAACAAACCTCAAGATGCAAACACCTCCTTTTTTTCTCTATGCAACACTAGCACACCAGTGACGACCATTCAGGATTTAACGCCAGGCATGAATACCATAATAAATACTTTTCTCGAAACTTGACTTTTGGCGTTTACGCCCGTCTCCAAATAACCCGCTCAATTCCACGAGGCAGGTAACACTGCGTTCATTGACACGACTCGGGTTCACTTGAAGGGATTCGTAGTTTTGAATAGCAGAAGGCGAAAGGGATCCCGTTCCGTAGGGCGGCGAGTCATTCATGTCACTGCGGACAGAGAATCGATACGTGAGTGCGGGAAAATGACTCGTGATGTGGGGCATAAGCCACCCGTTGCCATCGCCTTCGTGAGCGCCGTCAATTTTGAAGAAGGCTCCGAGGATCAGAGTTCAATTGCTCATTGAAAAGCCAAATGACCGCGGTGCATGCGTACCTTCCTCACGACGATGATGAGATCAGAAAGCCTTGCGCCGCGCCTATTAGGCAACTTCCGGAATTGTATCGCGGTGGGAGAGCTCGATTGGAAGTACCTACAGACCTGGAGAAAAGGCTTTTCATGACTTCTGATTAATTTTTCCAGCGGTTAAGACTTATACTTACACTAGGCGTTAGTGTTATACTGATAGTAGTAAAGCACTCCTTTTCACGTATAGGCCGATTCAGATGGGGGAGAGGCGTAGGGGGTATACGCCCCCCTCCTTTTTCGCCCGAAAAAAAGAGGAAGAAGAAAGAGAGAAAGACGCTTATATTTGGTATATTCATGACGAAATTGACTCAATATCCGCATACTAGATACTTTTTAAATTTCGACAATTATCTCGAAAAAGCCCCCACCCGGATCTTCCATCCGCCCCAAACCCTCTCCCCCTCCCCCTACGCTCGAAGTTCCTGGGTCCGCCTATGCCTCACAAAAATGCAGTCTCATAGGTAGCTAAAATTTTAATCTTAATTTTTTCCATACTACAGGTTCCCTGTTCTTGTTCTTGTGGATGGTCACCACATTTTGCAAGAAGGAACTACTTCTCTGGCTCCATTCACCATTCATAAAAACCCCCATCGTCGTTGAACAACTATGGCACGTATGTTTTTTCTAAAGTGGGAAAAATATACTTGTTGCTTCCAAAATATATTCCAAATTAGGTATCCGTCAAAGGTGCAATACAATCCTCACAGAACTTAAGAATGTAAGAGCTGTTTTGACGATTTGACCGCACTTAGTGCGACGCGACGTCTCGAAGTATGTTTCCAGGTCATGTTGACTCACTGCGGCCGGAAATTAGTGTTTTTTCTTCGTAAGTAAAACTTTTTCCTCACAGTCCGGCGAGGAATTTACCATCCGCGTCGTCCACAGCAACAATACACCAGCTGAGCCATTGCATTTCTTTAATTCTTGTCACCGGGACATGGAAAATGAGAACTTTGCGGGAACGTAATGAGCTGCAATTATTCATACGAAAATGAGTGTTTCATCGTAAAAATTGGAAGTTAGCGTGATCCATTGCAATGAGACCCGTATTTACTGTACGTCACCTCATCGAACGGATAAGTGGTTTGCTGCACCCTGATATCATCTATTTGTGTCCTGATGACTTTTCTCTCACTTGATGTATAGTGAGGTTTGGTTTAGGATTTGAACCTTAATCTTATACTACCGTGCTAAGGAAAAATGCCGTATGAGCCTTTAGGCGTTGCCAAATTTCCTTTGATAAATCACAAATTTATGAGAATATTTATAAACATTTTTCTTCCGATTTGTCAGAGATTTCCGTTCGTCATTTGATCCAAATAGTGTAAAAATCTCAAAGAAAAATATTGATACCTAACTTTCCTCATAAATGAACATTTTATCGGTGGAAACTTGGCAAATCTTGAATGTTCTTACGGCGTTTTTCCCTAACACGGCACTATACTTCTTTAAAAAAAAAACGGTGCCCGGTTGTCGGATATGTTTTTGCCTATACTTTAAAAGTAAGTAGGTAATCGCAGAGCTTTCAGAGCATTTTCTGTTTTTTTTTGGTTTTTTGCCCCCCCCCCAAAAAAAAAAAATTGAAATTTTCAAAATTTAAAAGATGCAACAAAAATTTTTTGTCGAGAATTTTTCATTTTAGAAATTGGAAAAAATAATATTCGTAGCAGTTTAAGTTCACCGACAGATGTTGCATTTTCGTTTATGAGGGCCGACAATATTCGGTCTCTGAGATCCGGGCACATCGAAAGTTCTGTTGGGAGATTTTTTGAAAGGAAAAGTGTATTTTTTGGAGTAGCGGCAACGTTGCGTTGCAACGGGAGCGCCCCGAGCGGCCTTCGCATAAAAATACACCAAATGTGGATTTCTTGTTCTCTTGCTTACGTCACGGCGGCTCGCGAGTTTCCTCGGATTAATCCGCGATTCGGCCCAAAGCACGGCCTCATTTTTGGGCTGCTCCGATGACGCCCAATTCGCGGTCAGCGGTCACTGGCGCGGGAAGTTCAAAACCCACCATTGTCTGGCCCCCAAGGTAATTGCGGTTTACGACACCCATAAACAAATGAAGCTTATGTGTCGCTCAGTGAGGATTAGGCAGACCTGAAATCAACGAACTGCTCGCTCGCTGGTTACTGCGCGGTGGCGCGAGTTTTATTTTTTCAAAAGAAACGAGCCGTCTGTATTTTTTGCGATTTTCTGTGAATTTCTACTCCCTCATTGCTAAGTACCACACACTGGAAAAAAACACATTGGATCTAGAGTCCAGACTCTTAAAAACATCGACAAGAAAAAATACTCTTGATTCAATCGGATTTTTGCTAAAATCAAGAACCAAGCCTCTTAATTTGAGCAGATTTCCTTTTGATTTAAGCAAAAATCTGATTGAATCAAGAGTATTTTTTCTCGTCAATGTTTTCAAGAGTCTGGACTCTAGATTAAATGTGTTTTTTTTTTTCCAGTGCAGCAAAGGAGGAAATATTTTGATGATAGTTTCCTCACATAAAAATAAATATGGTCGGAGATTTTGAAACGTTTTTTGCCTAGATTTTCCAGAGAGCCAAAAATCGTGCCAGTCGAGATGCAGCTATGACTAAACTTTTTGTGTCAATGATCGACCAAAAAAACGAACAAAATCGCTGACAACGTGAGAATTTTCCGCGAAAATCTCAAAATTCGATTTCCCTGTCCATATGAACAAAAATTTCTCTGTAAACGCTGCCTCTGTGGACTACACAGTCCAATTTCCTGTAGCCAGGCACAATCATATCTCCATTGTGCTATTCTCATTGGTGTAATCACTCCAAGCCGCCGTGCTTAGGAAGAACGCCGTATGAGCCTTCAGACGTTGACTTTCCTCCGATAAAAACCAAATTTTCTGAGAAAATTGCGAATATTATTTCCGAAAATTTTCAGACAATTTTGTTTGCAATTTAATCTAAAATATCTGAAAATTTCAAGGAAAATTATGCATGAACGTTGTCAAAAATACATATTATATCCAGGGAAATTTGGCAGCTCTCGGATGCTCGTACGGCGTTCTACCCTAGCACGCCAGCATGGGTGATATATGCTCTTAAAAAAATACTCACTTATTCATTCCCTGGAGTGAGAAAATCGTCAGTGGTTTCTCAAGCGATTCCCAGCCAATTTGAGGTCGTGATGCTCTCACCCCACGAGGATCATCACCGCCCCTCACAGTCAAAACCACGTATCTTTACAAAGCTCACGGGGTGAGTTGCGCGGTTATAGGTCAGTAGGGCAGATTAGCATACCGAGTTTGCCAACCATTTGGACGTAGTTATGCTAAAAGGACCTATGAGCATAGGGTTTGCGCGCAACATAGTTCCTTTTAGCATAAATACGTCCATTTGAGCCCGTTCCAGGTGTAGCATCCTCCGTCCAGGAAGAGTTGCGCAATGGTCACATCTGTGAACGTGCAATGTCAAGGTCGTGTAAGCTCGGACCGCACACTGCATCTCATTTGTTGTGATGGTGTAATTTAGGATTGTCAAGTTGTGTGAAAAAGCTGGACAGTTTATAATTGGTTGCCAGGGGAGATGTACTAAATTGTCAGCACAATCTGGCAACGACGTGTAATTGCGCCTCGATTCATAATGCGAGTACTAGACGTCGCACAGTGGATCAAAGCCGGATCGTTGAAGTTTGTGTTTTTCTGCCGGCCGATTATTGAAATTTATAGACAAAGCTATAGACAAAGAAGACATAAGGAGTATAGACCGATCCTATTGGTTGAAATGGGTGGCTCTTATAAGGGGGTAAATGATGGACTAATTATCGGGTCGCTCGTGGGTTGTCGTTAGTTAGTCTATTACCTACTTCCTTTGTCCATTGCAACCTCCGCTTCCACCAATAGGAGCCCTCCATATCCTTTTTGTCTTCTTTGTCTATCAATTTCAATAATCAGCCCGCAGGTTGGACAAGACAAGACTGAGGTAAAATAGAACAGCTATTAATTCGGAATTCCCTGACTTTCCAGACCGCCGGAAAACCTGCGAGAATGATACCTCTTCGACTAAAAATGCTACATTAATTCATATTTTCTGGCAACCACTAATGAATTTTTATTTGTATCTATGTTTGTAGCTTTGAAGAACTTGGGCGGTAAAGCTGAGGAGCTGATCGAAAAGAAAAAGAAGGAAGTTGAAGAATTGGCGACCGAAAAGAAAAATGCAGCTGCTTCTATGATCGAAAACCAGGTGCGTAGGTACTTGAAAATTTTCAAAAAGTTATCGCTCAAGTAAAAAATGGGACCGCACTGCCAGGGCTGGATTTAGGGGGTGGCCACATGGGCCGCGGCCCTTGGCGGCAAATTTAGGGGGCGGAAAATGTAATTTTTTTCAAATGTGAATATCAAGAAAAAAATCTCATTCAGAAAAACAATTACAAACGAGAATTGGCGAAAAAATCTCTCATATCCTGAGAGTTATAAAGTAAAGTAATTTCTAATTTGTTCGTCTTCCGGTGATACAAGAGACAGAGCCTTTCATTAGTCTAGTTGAGAGAGAAACCAAGCACGCAATTTGGCCTGGAGCAGCGCGGTGCAGAGAGCAATGGTGACGAGGACTTGAGATGGTAAGGAGAAACCCTTGGCGCGCCGGTAAACACATATTAGCGCCTACAAGACTCCATGAATACTTCACGCATTGCGTCAAACGTAATGCGGTCAGCAGCGGTTGGCGTATAACTCATAGTGCCTACAAGACTGCATGAATACTTCACGCATTGCGTCAAAAACAGTGCGGTCAGCAGCGTTCCGCACTTAATTTTCGCGCAAAGTTCCGTGAGTTATGACAGGGCTTTCACAAAAAATGTGCCCAACGCGACTAAACGCGTCTTATGCACCCCTCCTCCTCCGGCACGTTGTATCGATGTTTCAAAACGAATGAGAAGGGGCGGCAAAATACAGGCGGCTCACGGGCGGCAAGTAGGTAAATCCGGCCCTGCGCACTGCAGAAAATTGGTGATGTAGAATTATTTCGTCAAGTTAGGTAAAAAATTGGAATTTTCGATGGAGAGTATGTCAGTACCCCGAAACAATACCTAAATTGCACCTCTGAGATTCAATTAATTTTATTGCCAAAAGAGGTTTTATGGTTGCATTTTAATTTGAAAATCCAAAACCACGATCATGATTGACAACAATTCTAAGCAATTTTATTCAGAACCGTACTTGGAATAGCGAAATTCACGGTGTCTGCTCGAAAGTCCGATTCAATTTGAAATTGTTGAGCGTTTCTTCATGAACACCTATTTCTAAGCGGTAATGCTAACCCGCATATGCATACCTATGTCGATGGTCTAAGTGCAAAACCATGTATCTCCGTTTGCGACGTTACAGACTTCCAGTCATACTTTGTTTTTGCCTTCGGAAGATTGGTCAACTTAATTTCTTGGAATGTAACAAGGTGGAGAAATGGTGCTGGATCCACACCATTTCGCGGGGAAATCGAAGTCAAGAAATTCCAAAAATTATAATTAGAGTAAAAAATAATTTTTTTTAACTCTAATGAGTACCAGTACAAACTTACACTTACAGTTATTGACTCGTCTCTCTTCGAAAAAATAAAATAGGAGCAGCGATTTTGCAACACCGCAATGGAGATACGTAGTTTCGCACTTTAGCTATCTATGTTTCAATTTTGACCTTCTTAGGAGTTAAGTCCCTTTTCCCGGGGAGGGCATCAGTCCAAGCAAACTTTAAGGGCGAAGGGATGTTGACCGGAAGTAAAATGGGTGCCAGGGCGGTGAATTTTCCAAGTCTCGAAAAATGACACTGGAAAAAAAAAACACATTGGATCTAGAGCCCAGACTCTCAAAAACATCGACAAGAAAAAATACTTTTGATTCAATCAGGTTTAAGCTTAAATCAAGAACCGAGCCTCTTAATTTGAGCGGATTTCCTTTTAATTAAAGCTTAAATCTGATTGAATCAAGAGTCCTTTTTCTTGTCAATGTATTCAAGAGTCTGGACTCTAGATCCAATGAGTTTTTCGTTTTTTGTTTTTTTTTTTTCAGTGGACCTTGGGTGGATCGATCATGATTTGCCAAAATAGCCCTAAAAAAATACTTGTCACTAAAGAGTGAATATCAAATGCCGCTCCTCTCCCTCCGCCAGAGACGATCACCGATGTCACATGTTTAAAATTTGCCCGCCATATATTTCCCGCGCGCGCGGGAAGTCGGCCGACATTGAAAACCCGCGAAGTTCAAAATGACGCGCGGCTGTCTGCTTTTGCGACTGAGCACGGAGAAGAATTTCATGAGCCGCCACCCGTGGCGGCGCACTATGGTCCAAAACTCAAGAATAGGAAGAAATAAGTCGGATAATGACTGAAAGATCACGAAAGTTTCGTAACTGATGTTTTTTTTTTTTTGAGTCGCTAATTTTGAATTTGATGTCGAATTGCCTACCTTTGAAAACCCTGATACCAATTCTGCCGTGCTAAGGAAAAACGCCGTAAGAGCCTTCAGGCGTTGTCATATTTTCCCAAGCAAATCACTAATTTTCAGGAAAATTTTTGAATACTTATCTACCAATTTCTCAGATGATTTTGTTTGTAATTTGAACTACAACTTCTGAAAATTTGAAGGAAAAATATTCAAAATTTTCCTCAAAAACAAAAATTTTGTCGAAGGAAATTTGACAACTCTCGAATGTTCATACGGCGTTCTTCCTTAGCGCGGCAGAATTGTAGGCAAGTTTATGGCACGCTGCGGCGCGGCGCGGCGTGCTGCCGCTGCCAGCTCGAAATGCACTTTAGCGCCTACAAACCTAAGGGGATACTTCAAGCATTGCGCAATGCGTGAGGTAGCCCTTTAGGTTTGTAGGCGTTAGTGCGCGTCTCGCGCTGGTAGCACGCCCGACGCCCGCGGCGCTCCCGACGCGGGCGGATGGTTTTTTTTTTTTTTTTTTTTTTTTTTTNTTTTTTTTTTTTTTTTTTTTTTTTTTAAATTTCAACTTTTAAAATTACACACCGGTCGTGTGAAGTAGTAAGTGAACTCTCAACTCTAGATGAATAAAGGCAGGTCGTGCGCCATGCGCGCTGCAAACAGCGCGGCGCAGGGCGGCTCATGCAATTCTCCCCTGTACTATCCGTCGCTGCTTTTGCCTATAACTGACGATTAAGGTCAAAAATTACTATTCTAATGAACGAGAACGGAGATTTCTTGTCACATTTTATTTTTGGCATGAATTTTCACGAGTGATATTTTTTTGCGGCGAATAGGTATTTTATGGCATATCTGTGATTCGCTCACTTTCAGGAAACTGTTCAGGGAGGGACCTGCCACGAATCCAGACGCATTTATTCTATTTTTATTGACACGCATTCTTCGCAAAGGATTAATCTTGTCTGGATTCCAATCTTGTGTGTACACTTTCTTTTATCCACAGCAAATAAACATTTGAACAAATGTCTATGATTCTCAGATTAAAAAGACTGGTGATTCCCTCTGGCAAGCTAAGTCAGATGCCGAGAAGACAGCGACAGCCGTGGCTGAGGACAATAAAAAGGCGGCCATTGAAGCCTTTGACGCAGAGTTGAAGAGCGCAGAGAAAACTGTTGACGAAACCATCCAAGAGGTAAATGACTAGGTTTACGCGTAGACAGTTATAAATTTAGTCTTTGTGTGTAGATAAGTGCACGAATTGTTTACACCTAGTTCTCTGTAATTTTAAAAAGCAATGATCGAACAAAGAAAAAAATCCCTCTTACCTATCAAGTTATTTATGTTCCTAAAGAACGTTTCGATGACATTAAGGGCAAACGGAAAACTTAATTAGTTATTTTTCAGGGTGAGAATACATTCCCGGGAAAATAAACTGGAGAATTAAATGAAATGGAAATATCACAAAAATGAATTTATTTTCCTTTGGCATTAGTCTTTATTACCAAAGAATGTAAAAAAAAAATAATAATTTCATGATTCAGTTTGTAACGTTAGTAAATCCTATTCTACCTACTTTTTCTGCAATAAAAACGGGATGACAAGGTTTTTTTTTTTTTTTTTTTTTTTTTTTTTAAATTTGAAATTCCCTTACCTATACTTTCCATGACTTTTTTTTCTTTTCTTGTATTAGGTATTCCTCATGAAAATGCTTTACCTATCCACGCGAACATTTTCAGCGTGAAGTCCTTTAAAATTAGAACAATTCAAAATTCAAGAACTGTAAGGCAATTTGAAGGTTCCACATTAACTTTTCCATGACTTTTTAAGATTGGAATTTTCGAAATTTCTTCACTTTTCCAGGGTTACCTACAATGACTTTTCTAAGACAATTTCCCTGTACAATATCTACCTACAAAATCCTCTGTTGTCTCCCGCACCATAATACATGTGAATCCCCTCACTTGAGAATCGAATTCCTGCAGGGTATCTAGATTAGAACACTTTCCTTGATTGATGTTGTGTTGCATGTTTGTCGTGTTACTGTCAACCCCTAAATTTTTTAATTGTAGACCAAATCCTCAAGCACAGAAGCAGCACCTCCCTCGGAACCAACCAAAAGCGACGACTCACCCGTTGATGCCATCACTAAAGCAGTGGGGGGTCTAGATTTTGGGAAAATAGCAACTGGAGGATTAGATGCAACAGAAGCAGAGAAAGTGGTCGATACTGTAGTCAAACAGGTACACTGATCAGCACAATGCTCGATGGCAAAATCCACTAACCATCAGCCAATTTCATCTAATATCTACCTTCTGTTTCTTTGCATGATGGCTTTACGATATATATCTTAGAATTAATATAATGCTTTCTATTAACACTTTTCAGCATTAAAACTTTTTGCAAATGTTTATTTCCCGTTCCATTCTACGGAAAGAAACTAAGTACCTAATACACTCTACACTGCCTTTTGCTTAGTTTTTTTTTATGATTTTTTAATACCCAAGTGGCACAGATTGCAATAAATTGCAGTGACATGACATTGTAAAATTGTTGCTACCAACTGCGGAAGAGTGCTGTGTACGTTGCCTATCTACTGATTGAAAGGCAGGCGGCATATTGAAATTTATTGCAATACCTAAAAAAATAAATGCAATTTTTCATTGCACTGCAAATTCTGACACATGAAATCTTGCCGATTGTTTAAAATCGGACTTGACTGACCAAGTGATGTAAAAATATTGCGATTTCATGGTAAAAAATTTTTAATTTTATTGCAATAAATCGCAAATTCAATATTTTCATTGCACAGTGCTATTTGGGTAACTTCTAATTAAATGACACAATCATCTCATACTTAACACAGCTATTTCTGTTTCATTAGATATACAACAATTAAGGACTGAGAAGGTTAGTCATATATTGTAAGAAGAGTGAACAGCAAAAAAATAAGCTACCTCCATGAAGCAAAAAGAAATTAAAAGTATCTGCTAAAAATAGCTCGTATATGATAAGTACTACAGACTGTCAGAGTAATTATTTTTTTCTCTTAAACAGTTTCCTAAGCAGCCAAAAACTAAAAGGTGTTCTAAAAATGATTAACTGCTTTCTCAGGTGAACACAGCGGTGGACGAGAAAATAAAAGAGGCTGATCACTTCATCGATGAAAAGCGAGAAGATGTGGTGCACAAAGCGCAAGAGGCTATATCAGGAGCTACAGCTGGGAGCGGCGTTGGTGCCATGCTCGGCAAAGCAAAGGGTTTACTGGGAAGTAGTAAGTATTTTCATGTTCACCAATTCTCATTAATTAAAGATTCAATTATTTATTATTTGACACATTCATTGACTACCTAAGGCTAAGGTTGAAGAATTAGTTATTTTGAAACTTTTCATGAAACCTCGCTAAACAGAGATTGGGCACAGGTGCATTGAAAAGAAACAGCCAATGAGGAGGAGTTTTGGGGTATCTCAGCTCTCCATTGCCTGTAATTTTTTTCTTTTTAAAAAAGTAACGCCATGATAACCTAAGATAATTGAAAAGCTTCATATTGGTATTGTCTGATATAAATAATAAAATAATAAGAAAAAAGTAGCCTTGATACCTAATGGTCATGTAAATTTTCTATGAGGCCTTTTGATTGCCCGCATCATCATCAGGCAGGACACATTTTCACATGTCAAAGATGTCTGAAGATGTTTGGTTTACACAAGAAAAAAATACCAAACTTAAGAAAAAGCATCATCTTTACTTATGAGTCTTACTTTCATTGCATTTCAAGGTGAGTAGCTTATTATGCCACATTCATTGAAATCTATTTCCTTTCTTCCCGCAGAGTAAATCAAGAAAATGGTCGTTGAGTCGCCAAACAAGAAGAAACTCGCTAATCTCAGCTTATTTTTTTACTCATTAGTATAAGATGCATTGTCTACAAGTTCATCATTCAGGTACCCTTTTAAATGTTTAATTAAGATTGTCAATGTTGTTTGTAATTTTTCATAGATCTGTTAGATACATTCAATTAATGGGTCCTTAAAAGAGAGCTTTGATTCAACTTGTAGATCAAACCTCGGTTGTTCAGTCTCTTCCTCCATAGTAATTTTGTTATGTTAGATTGGAGGAAATCAAAGCTCACTTCTGCTATTTGAGTAAATTTGAAATTCTGTCAAAACTTGGATTAAAAAAGAGAAAAAGCAGGGAAAAATGAGGTCATAGTATGTGATTGAAACTAAAGCACACCTGTGTGTTTTGAATCTGCTAGAATAGCTTACTGAAGTAGCGGTAATCTTTGTAAAATGTAAAGTTAACAACAATTTAAAAAAAAAAAAAACATTTATCACACAGATGGTTTTGCACGCAAAATATTTGAGTTATACACTGAAATGTGCAGCTTTTTCATACTGCTCATGTTTTATCTTTGTGTTTTGCCTTTCGGATTTCCATTCGAAAACTAATGCTTTAAAACAACTTTGTTCAAGATTGGTGTTTTAATATGAAATTACTTTACATACATACATAAATTCGTAGCTAGACACACGAAGGAATCTTACCATATTGATGTTGTTAACTACTGCAAATGCTTTTTTCAATGTTTATTTTTAGATTTGATCTGACTGGTGAAATATTTTACACCATGACAAGTAAAATGTAAGTCATTAAATAAGTAATTATCCAAATTATTCCTTCCAGTCAAACTGGTGCATTCCATTTGATTACTTGAAAAGACAGTTAGGAATACTACTACGAGAACATACTACTAAACTACTTCCGGGTACATTGTCTGACTCTACTGAGGAAATTGTTAGTGCTATAATCTTTGATTTGGTTAAAATGTTAAAGATTATTTGACTACAACCGCTGCTCTGTGAACTAGATTATTACAATGCTGAGGTTCTAAAAACAAATAATATGCGCTGCTGCTACAGGAAGAAAATAAAAAATTTAGCTATGATAAGTAACAGAGATAATAGGTCCAAAGATTATTACAAAAAAGATTCTTAATTCTGAGAAATAAAATAATTAAAGTTTTTAAACAAGTGTATTGAGGGGTCAAAATGAAACCTCAGAAATGATTATTTTACTCGATTATTTTAAATTTCTTGATAATACCTCAAATTTGACTCAATAACTAGATTTTCTTCACAGAGCCAGTCAAATTGGTATTTAAACTACTAAAGCTTCAGAATACAAAATACGGAATATTTGTTCCATATCAGCAGGTCTATGAGTGATCAAGTTATCAGTGACTTCTGTTTTGTACAAAGCCAGCAGGTGGTGCTGTTACCGACCATTTTTTCTCTTCACACGTTTCATTTGACAGGAATATTTAGGAGATAAGATGAATTTTGCAAACCTTAGGCATGAAATATTGTCAACCCAGATGTGTCTACATACATTAGAGTAATTGAACACCCTTGCTTAGTGGTCATTTTCTTAAATTTCTTTCTTGATCAGTTATTTACTTATTTATTTATTTTTCAGGCTCTCGATAAATAATCAGAATAGCCTATGGTGATTCTCAAGTTTTAAAGAAAAGTGTCTAAGTTCCCAATATTATGAACGTACAGGAGGGTTCCAGAAGAAGGGCTCATAATAGTTCAGAAGAGCTTGTGTCTGGGAGCAGCGGCTATCTGGACAAATGATCGGAGACACGAACTCATCTATGTTTTGTAGGCCCCTTTTCTAGAACCCTCCTTAATTTTAGAAATTGCTATTATTCGGGGGGTTCCCCCCCACCAAACAAAGAATTCCTTTCTAGAATCATGGAATTAATATTTTAGACTGTCACCATGACATCAAAATATTATGGAGAAATAGAGGTTGACATTTCACTGTTATCTTTTATGTCATATGCTGTCAATTATTTTTTCTGAGTTTTTGCTCATAAGCAGCCAAATTCTTTAGGATTTAAACCTACAAAAGCTATAATTTTCTCGATCATCAAAACTACTGATGCCAAAAAATATCGTATAATCTACGTTTTATTGAAGAAAATATTAATTTTTACACAAGAGCTTGAATTTTGTTGATTGCAATTGATGCTTGAATTATACATCTAAAAATCAAGTCAAGTTCCTAAAAATTCACCTGTAGGTTTTTTTGCACGATATTGGATGAATCTGTAGATAAAGTAAGACCCAGTGCTTTGTGAATGGAAATTGTATGATGAAATTCTTTTGAGCAATTATCTGACAGTACGAAAAGCAACTGCTCTCCCAAATATCTATCTTGAACTGCTTGCTTGAAACTCAAATTTGTGTGTGAAGTAATTTGTGGATGTTACATTAGGATTTTTGACATACAAGAAAAAATTCCTGATTATTGAATGATAAATGTATATTTACAAAGATTTGAACTGCTCTTAAAAATAATTAATATCAGACAATGTAAACATGAATTATCAGAAAATTTTACACCACATTCCGTCAAAGCACAAGAATTAAGCAGTGGAATACCTTCGAACACTGGATTTTACTGGGAAATCACATTTACTGGAACCGGTCTTTAGATCAATGAACATTGATGATTTACTACTTTGATATGAATGATTATAATTTTATTTTTGTATTTTTTGTGAGAAAATATTTTAAAATTTAAGTTTGCTTCAAAAGCTTTATTTTGTATGTTATTTGTACATGTGTTAAAATGTGATGTTGAATAAACTTTATTAAAATGAGTCATTAATAAATATGTTGGTTACTTTAAAGTCCCACAAATAATCATCACCTATTTAGATCGCATTTAGCAGAAGAAAATCAAAACTAATTTCAGTGTTTTCAGAACCGTACAACTTTTTCTTTGCTTTAAAAAATACTAATTGTATGTACAGTCATAAAATGTATACAATCGTTTTGCTTCAAAATTAACAATTATTTGGTAGAAAAACAAAAACTATTTGCTAATCTGGGTATTTTTGGGAGGAAGATGAAGATGCACGATTTTTAAAACAACAATGTCATCGCATTAGTTTCTTTCTGCATTTTGAGGGTGAATCAACATGAATTTTGGTGCGTTGACTGCTATTGTAACTGAAACTTAGCACAAAACATTTAACAAAATTTATTTCAAAGCCAGTTGTTCTAAGACAAAGACGATCTTTCTTCTTGCTCGTTTCTTTATTTGTTCGTGTTCTGAAAATCTCATCCTGAAGCGATAATCAAGATAGAGTACAGAGTAGATACAATTTAAAATGAATAACTTCTACGATCTGAAGAGGCATTGTTTCCATTACACAACCGCTAAAGTATTATCCTAATTTTTAAAATTGACAGAACAAACCTTGTTCTAATCTTAATTGAAAGCTGGTTGGCGGAGAGAAAACTGGAAGAAAAAAATAAAAAGAACGCAGGGATAATCAAATGCACATGGAGGACAAAGCTCAAAAGATTATGTTGTATTGATTATGAGTATATTGAACTTTGATCAATTTAAAAACATCCCGGGCAAGGGGAAGAGACTGGTCATATGGAGACAGAGCCGAAGTTGCCATAATTTCTTCATCTTCAAATTCCCTGACTTTTCCCGGACTATTTTTGCATTTCCTCGGCTCAAAAATGCTTCAATTCCCTGATTTTTCCTGACTTTTCAACAAAATTTCCCTTTATTTAAAAACAATACACTGATTGTTGGAACATGGCCCCTCATATTAACTTAAAGTGGCTATCTAATCGCCCCCTCTAGATATACTCTGCCTATCTTTGCACTACTTTTTAGGCCTAAGTAACGGCAAGCCATGCTATAATTATGTGAACGTAGAATTGAGTTAACCTCGAAAACCTTTGTTAACATCAAAACACAGAATTTGATCCCAGTGAGAACTTTCGCCTTTGAGGAGTGTCAAAAAAGTAGCCCATAGTTTAAACGATATTGATTTTTTAGCTTATGTGGGTGATAATTTTGTGGCCAAAGAAATACATTATTATAAAATTTGTTTGCTGAAATATAGTGCTCCTTGTTTGAAAGACATTCAAAGTCAATCTTCAGATAAGAAAAAAAACGGTTGAAGTTATGAAATTATGCAGTCAATGATGTTATGGAACAAATTTCTTAAATTCGTCCATGAAAATATGGTAGTACAGAAAAAGGCGTATCTCATAATAAATTTAACGAACAGTTTGTACTTTTGTACTAGGAAATGACAGAGCTTGAGTGTGCTTATACAGTTAAGAGATTAGAATCGAAACTAGTCAAACACTTGTTAGAAAGTCTGATTATAGGAACTGTCAACCAGAAAAAAGTTGTTTTCCACCGTGACCTCTCTGAGGATCAGCTTCAACTTTTACTAGCCGCTATAAATGATCAAATTCTTTTCAAAGAGACTGCAAGTAAACTGAGAAAAATTGTATCAAAAGTAGACCATCTTTCCTACCGTCTATTTCAACCCAATGACACACCCTGTCCTTTTAAAAGGACATTGCAGATGCGGACTAGTGTGAGGTCAATAATTCTGTTGCTAACCGAAGTCTCTGTTGCTAACTGAATTCTTTCCCTCGCCTTTCTTGATTTTTCTTTTCCCCCTATCTGTCCTCTCAATTTACCCTCATCCCATTCATTCGTCATTCACACAGTCATAAAATCCAATCTGCATCTATTGTTTCAATCTTCCTAAGCGCATCCTACACCCTCCATTCCTCCTCCTCCTCATACCACCAAATTAATACATTGCCCATATTCATTCCCTTTCAAAATTTATCCAATCACTGCCTCCCAATTTCCTTCAACTTCCCTCCCCCTACATTCACATCACTCGAATCGCCACCGGAATCCAGAAAGAGTTTCATTCTGCTCTCAAACCTTGTGCGACGAACACATACAACCATGAACACTTACGTCCAAAACGCTCAATATTGGTTACCAATGCCAATTTACAACTTTGTCAACCCTAACATCGACAAAACCACCACCGAACTGGATCACCTCACTACACAAATCTCCGACCAAAAATGGCGATACCGCCAAGTATCAACATTTCTTTATGAACAGCACCTTAAAACCCAATATATTAATTACCTACTACTACACAAAGCTCCAGATTCACAACTACTCATCGACGCAAAGAAGGCCTTCAACCGTCCTCTGCCGACAACAGATGAGAATTGCGAATTTAAATCCCTAAAGTTCATTCTGGAAGCACTTCACATTCAAATCGCCCAAGATCTTCGCTTCATAGAAAATCAACAGGAAGAAGCTGACCTCCTCGGGTGCATCAGACTCCTCTTCGTATAATTTTCTTTGTAACTCTTGTTTAGTTTTAAGTATGTAATTGTTCTTTTTCTTCCTTTCTCTACTTGGGGGCATCTTTTTCTTCCTTTCAATCATGTATATCCTCTTCTGTATGTTTGTAAAAGAATAAAATAAAAAATAAAAAATAAAAAAAAAAAAAAACCAAAATGAAAAATAAGAGTGAATGAGTGACAAAAAAAACAAAAAAACAACAACTTATCACATGAGCCCAGAAACTAAGTCCCCCAACTTACTTCACGTCTGATTTTTCTCTGTTCCATAGTTGCCAAATTCACTTTGCTCTAACAATTATTCCTCAAACACATAAATGTGTCAACACCCCACCTCACTCCCCCTGGATCATTGTCCCTTGTAACTGCAATGTAGTCACATCTATCACATATTTATCTTCTTTCATTCTTATAAACTTTCTCTTTCTTTTTTCTCTTTCCCATTTCTCTTCTGTTCGCCGACGCTACAATTACTACTGTTCACCTATTCTATTCATAATTTGTGCAATCCTTTTATTACCTTTTATTCACTCTATGTTACACACATTTCGCCTTTGTAACCTTTTTTTTCTCTTTCAAAATCCTTCCAGATTCCTGTGCATCTAAAATCATGCAATCCAAACGCTTTGTCACTTATCATTTAGACTTGATGTTCAACTTATTCGACGTAAATCACAACATTCCGCCTGTCAAAATAGAAATTCGCTTCCCACCAACCGATCTGTCCTTTCAACATACAATTTTTGATAGAAGCATCAGAATTTTGTCAGAAAATCCGACATTGTCATGCTTACTTACGGCTAACACTATCAACGTTCTACACGAAAACAAACCTTCCCTACAACTATCTTTCAAAGCAGATGCTAATTTTAGAATTTCTATGTGTCTCTGTGAAAACAATATGGAATTTAATGAATCTCTTGAAAATTTTCTCTTAAATATTTTTCTTGTGAAAAACAGTCTTTTAAACGAGAATTTTTGTACTACACTCGTGTTAGAATTCCAACATTCATATTTTCTTTACAAACAAATACTTCAAGCTAAATTAGTATCACTAATCACACATCCTGCTTACCAATTATGGAGTTTCCCAAATTCCTTACTGATTAAGAAAAATTTTCAAAACTACTACGTCATAACTTTTCTACATAACACACGATGCTCGTGCATTTTATGCCCTCGCCATCAATTTTGAAAAGTACTTCATACTTTTTCTTTGGCCCCGGAGGTGTGAGGTCAATAATTCTGTTGCTAACCGAAGTCTCTGTTGCTAACTGAATTCTTTCCCTCGCCTTTCTTGATGAGTCACCTCAAATCAATAACGTAGGCGCCGAGATTCTTCATGCGATGACAAATTCATGTCCTGCGCTGTCAAGCGTCCGAGATGTCCTCAGCAAATCTTGATGCGCTCTTGACTCAATCTTATTTTATCCTTCTTACTTAAAGCATCTCTGCTCCAAACCCAGGGTTGTGCCCTCAAGCACTATGCCACAATTTAGTGGCTTCGATTGAGTCTCGTCAAGGCTCCGGTTACAATTTAGTAACTGCGATGGAGTTTCGTTACAACTCAAACCTTCGATTGAGTCTCGTTAAGGCTCCGGTTACAATTCAGTAACTGAGATCGAGTTTCGTTACAACTCAAACCTTCGACGGTGTTACGCACAACACAAATAGTCCGAGTACTTTACACTCACTTCGTTTTACACGCGTTAAGTGTTAATTCGGTGGTAACACGTAAGTTACATTCGGCCGCGTACGTCACACGCAAATTCGACCGCGTTCGTTACACACAAATCCGACCGCGTACGTTACACGCAAATCTTCAACATCTTCAGTTTATGGTGCGCTAAGGTAAAACATCTCATCATCCAAAATCCTTCATTATTTCCCATATTTCTCCTCTACCAATTTTTCCACTCCAACTTTCATACTAAAATTTCCGTAACCAATTTATCTGTTAATTCAATAGTTGTAATTTCATTTATCTTGTAATATCTGTAATACTAAATCTGTTATTTTCCTTAATATACATAGCCGAAAGACTTCAAACGTACTGAGTCCGACTCTTCATTTAATTTCCCTTGAATTCCTTATCTAGAATAAATTAGGTAAGAAGGTGAAAGTTGTTTTGGTTGCAATTCATTTCAATCCCTCTTAAATTTCTATTAAACTCATCATATTAATTAAAGGCAACCCAAACATCTTCTCACACTAGCTGTGCTGCTGTGCAACGCAAAATTGCCGCAACTCCAAAATTTGAAAAAATTGAGTTAGATATGAAAATGGAGTAATAATGAAATTTAAAACGCGACACCATACTTGAGTTTGTGATCATTCTGTGATTTTTCAATCCATCACCTCAAATTATTCGCACGTTTCTCCAACCGTTTTTGAAACACGTCAATCATGTCGTCCAATGCCACAACTTCCCTATCTAAAGTGTTTTTGCTACCCATCTTTGACAGGGACAATTTTGCATCCTGGTTAGACAGAATATCTCTCTTCTTGGAATATGAAGAATGCAATACCATCAAGAAAAAACCATCCAGAGTATCATCAAGTGAATGGAACAAGAAAGATGCCAAAGCTAAAGTAATTATCGATGGATCGCTTTCTTACAAAGTGCAAGAACTGATAAACTGTAGTGCTTCTGCATGCCATATTTTTGCAAAACTTAAAGAACACTATGTATTGCAGGGCTCATCCACTAAAATCCTTTTGTTGGATGATCTCCAATCTCTTAAATTTTCCGAAACCGGACGATTTAAACGACTCCTTTTCTCGCTTTGAATCCATTTGTTGTAAACTCAAAAGTGCTGGTCAGACCATCACTGAAAATGACAAGCTTGTTTATTTACTCCGGTCCCTTCCAGACTCCATGGGAAACATCAAAGATTCCTTCCTACGTCAACCTTTGGTCAGTATCCTGCAACTTCGCGCTGTTCTCACGGTCAAATTTGAAGAATACAAATCTAAACATTCTTTGCCTGTCTCAGTCAACACAACGAACGCCAAAGACATTTGTGTTAAGTGATGAATAGTGACGTATTTCAATATGGAGCTTGAGCAAATACGCTTCGGTGTGAACACCCCCCTTGTATGTTCTATCATTCTATGTAACAAGGTGAAAGCCTATTATATTGAGATGAAATGTTCATGTACGGAATTTTCTGTGCTGAATCACTTGAACATTGTTTTTATAAATGAAGACGGTTATGATTCTGGAGGCCTCATGCGCGAATTCTTGCGCCTGCTGCTTAATGAACTGAGGACAAATACTAGATTACTGGAAGGAGATGAGTATGAAAAACACTTGGTCTACAATTCGGAAAGTTTGAAGAAAAAAAGATACTTCTTCCTTGGTAAAGCAGTGCAGCTAGCTATGCTAAATAATGTTTGTCCACACTTTTTCTCCAAGGAATTGTTCCATTTAGTTACACACGATGATCTAGCTGACTTTGATGTAAACACCTCATCCATAAAAAGTTTAACGAAGAGGCATCATTTGACAGAAGTCCTTGAGTCTGAAGACTCCGAAGTGCTCAACCACATGCTAACGACTTGCGAAACCTTCATTAGTGCAGAGACCCTGAGCCACATTAATCCTTGTACCCCGGCTGCAAAACGTGAGGTTCTCACTGGTAAGTAAACAATGAATGCTTCAAGTTAAACTTTCACCATTTACCCCCAACACTTAGTTTTAATTTTTGTTCGAAGTAGAAAGCGGCAATACCTACTGGTCAAGAGACACAATTTGGTTGATTTTATGACCAGCAAAGGTCATGTCATTCTCACTATAGAGGGGAAAATATTGCATGGATTTACTTAAGCTGTTTGGTTGTTAACTCTATGAAGGAAATTATCCTCTATGCGAGATTTTTCCCTTCATAGTGAAAATAACGTCACCTTGGCTGATCATTTAATCAAGCAACTTGTGTTTAATTTTTTTCTAGTGTATGAATGCCAAAACAGAAATGAATATCAACTCTATCAATACATTACCGTTTAAGTAAATTACTTCTTTTGAAAGCTTGAAATGTTTACTGCACTCATCTTGGCATTTGGTCCTCTACCCCCTATTCATTGAAATTGAAGAATGCAGGTATACAAATTTCAAAAGTGAAGAGAAATTCTTTGACATCGACTTGCTTAAGTTAATATTGCTAGACAGTTGTTAATCAGATTTTACTTGGAAAAACAGACTGAACAGCGGCTGTTTACCTACAATTCACTTCTTCTTCCAACCTTTGTTGTCAATTTTGATGTTGATTCTTCCTCAGGTTTCATGGTTCACAAATAGACAAGTGCACCTCTAAAAACCTATTATCATGATGAAACAAGTTTGTCGTGAATGAATGGGAGCATGTAAATGGGCAAGCTGAAAAAATCTGGAAATCTTTTAAGCATATAAATTGCGAGTCGTATATCCAGCTTGATTATCCACTTTTCTTTTTATCTAACAAATGCAAAACAATGTGTGAGGATGTAGCCGCTGAAACCTTGAGATGATGATGTAATAGTTTTCCATGCTGTTTCAGTTGGTGATACCAATTTGTCTTTTTGAAAATCTCCTGTTGCTTTAAACAGTTATTCTAATTTGTTTTGTTTTAGATGTTGTCAACTACCACACCCTTGAACAGCTTCGTGGGCCTTTGATGCAATTTAAAGCAGGATTAAATTCGGATCGTGTCAGGAATGAGACGGTACAGGAGATCATGGATGCCAAGCAGACCATCGTGCATGACATTATGACAAAACAACTCATTTGGTATGGTCATGTCCAGAGAATGGCAGGAGACAGGTTGCCGAAGAAGGTCCTTGATTGGGTTCCTCCTGGGAGAAGACGCAGAGGGCGCCCAATGAAAGGTTGGAGGGAAGGGATTGAAGCGGAAAAGTTAAGGTGCTCAATCCCCCAAGATTTGTGGTTTGAAAGAGAGCAGTAGAGGTTAGGGGTCGTAGAGCGCGAGGGAGTGCTGTAAAGCGACTTATGTATGTATGTATGTTCATGTGCTCGTCTACTTTTATACGTAATAAAAGTACAACCTTCAGATCTTAAATGACTTAAGTGGTTTATTCCAACATGGTAGCAGAGCATGGTTGAAGTTCGCGATGAACCGACTAAGTCTCGAGTTTCTGCAAAGTGAAAAATAGCATGATCGGCAAAGTGCGTTCTGAGGTTAAGATGGCGCAAAGGTACGTGAAATTCGATGAATTTGTTTTGCCGATATTTGATCGTTCAGAATACGTGCACTGGAAGAGGAGACTGCTAAAGTTTTTAGAGTTCAAGAAATGCAAATGCGTTATAGAAAAATCTAAGAAGAAACTTGATGCTGAGAAAGACAAAAACACGCTGGAGAGGTTCGATGAGCTGGATGTTAAAGCCACTAATTACATTTATAGCTTTATTAGTAATAAGCAGTTAAAATACGTTGCTAATATGCAAATAGCGCATGAAATTTTAAAGAAGTTTGACGAAATGTATCTGAAACCCTCCACAGCTTTGCAAATTGTATGTCGGAACAACCTGGAAGCTTTTAGATTGAAATCCGATTCTGATTCAACGCCATTCTTTGATGATTTCGAAAGAATCTACAACGAGTTAATCAATGCCGGAGCAAGTGTCAAACAGCCGGAAAAATTGAATTATCTATTGAAAGCGCTCCATGTGAAAGCCTATTACATTAAGATGAAATGTTCATGTGCTCGTCTACTTTTATATGTAATAAAAGTACAATCTTCAGATCCTAGATGACTTAAGTGATTTATTCCAACAATTTGTTTTAAGTGCTCTGGAAAAAGCCACCCGGCCAACATCTACCCCTCACGGAAAACATCAAGCAAAAAGTTTCAAAAGTTCTCGCCCAAACCTGAGAATAAAAGTGATCTTGAGCAGAAAGATGACTCCGAGAAGAAACCTGAGCCCTCCTCATCAGATTTCGCCACAGTGAAAGGTAATTTTGACCCTGCATATGTCTGTTCATTGGAATATAATCCACCCTCTAACTTTAATGGTTACAGTGTTAATGAACCCCCTAACAGTATACATTTTCTTGTAGATAGTGGTCGCACCCACCGTATTGTATATTCAGACTCATATTTTTCTAGCTACATAGAACCTGATAACCCAGTGCCAATCCATTTAGGAAACAACTCTTAAGTTTACGCCACCAAAATTGGAAATATCGAAATCTTACTATGAAATCAAAAAGGACGTCAATACAAACATATCCTAACTAATGTTCTCTTTTCTAAAAATTTTAAGAAAAATTTGCTGAGTGTATCTCAAGCTAACCTTTTAGAGTTAGAATTTAATTTTACTCCCAGTTTTGCATTTCATTTATTTTGAACTGGGTCATTCTTTCATGTCAGTGGATAGCTTTCATCATCAGGTGGAGTTGGCTCTGAAGCGTCAAGGCAAAACTCATGATTTTGGAGATTTTGCTAATGCTGTTGCCAAAACAATGGGAAGAACTTAAGTTAAGGTTTGGTGACAATTCTTAGGCATAATTTTTTCTTTACTGTAGGATGAGCCGCCTATTTTAAAGACTATTTTTATGGTCTATTTCATCATTGACAAAAAATTGGTGATATTTTAGCCACTGTGCGTTAATTCAGCATGAAGCTGAAAAATCTCATTACAGAGGCAAAATTTCGATCGAGCGAGCAGGATTTCTCTCAAAGAGGGAATATCCCCTCTCTTTTGTTTGTTATTTCATCATCATTGGTTTCTTTGAATAATTTTTTAATTTTGTATCCTTCTCAGGTCAGTTACCTGTACAAAAAGGTTGATGAGTCAGCCATTAGCAAGATGGCTCGGGATGTAGTGAGAAACGTCATAACACCGGAAGTATACATTAAGCTAAACCTCCACGGCAAGGGAGACTTAAACAAGGAAGGTTGGACAGAGCTCCACATGTTCCAAGTGCAGCGAAGTAAGTTTTTAACATCTGCCTTTTTTCGAGTTTCAGCCGACGGGACCACCTGCAGAATCTCCCTTTAGTAACTTTTACTGCCCATGGTGATGGTTGAGCTATTTACCTTAGGTTCTTGACATTTTTCTAAATTACCTGTTCTTTTCAGTTGACTGTGATCCACCAACTATTGAAAAGTCTTTAATGTTTTGAAGATTGTACATATCTGTGCTCAAAAGAACAACATGAAAATGAATTAAATAAAAAGATCTTTTTGCTGGGGAATCGCATGCTACATCTTTCCTCTTGTTGTATGATTTTTACATTGCTCCTTTTAGTTTTAATAAATTCAATATAAAACTGCCAGAGCCTCATCGTTGACATTTTAAACAATTCAAAACTCACTTCAAACACTTTCAACCATTTTACATTTGTATGTCTTCATACACTCATGTAGAGATGATGGCTCTGTCTTTCTAGTCATTGACATTGTCGCTGTTTCCTTCCTGATTTTTCTGAACGATTAATGAAATCTGAAACTAAACGTTTTGGTTCCCCCAAACCTCCCTTTATTTTTTGAAAATCATTTCCTTTCTTCCATTCTTTCTCAGGTGTGGTGGCCAAGAAATTTGGGGATTCAGATCTCGTGATGAATCAGCTCAAAACTACCACAGGTCTGTTCTTAGTCCAGGAGGCAGGAAAATGTGTAAAGAAACAGAGTCTTCGGTAAATACTTATTTTATCTCCTGTATGAAATGAGCCAATTTCTTCAAATTTTCTCACTGCATCATGCATGCATGAGTCCCATGTGAACTGATCTAACAATTAGTTTCTCTCTCTCCCCCTCTTCACCCCCCCCCCCCCCATGTGAAAAGGATTTTGGGTAATTAGTCTGTGTTAATGATTTTCAAAGGTGCATAACGAAGGGGGAAATACGATAAAATCCGATAGATAGGTTAGTGAACTAATAAGTGCGTACTTCAAGTATTCACCATTTGACTTTTATTGATTTTTAAATGACTTGTCAAAGCATTTGTTTATTATCATGAAAGTTCGGCTTCCTTAATATAAGCACCTACACCTTTAACGTACTATTCTCGTTTCATTCCAGACACTTCAACCTTTGTCACCTCCGCCTGTTCATTCACCCGAATCAACTCCGAATCCAATCCAATTCACATCAACACCTCATTTTCATTCACCTACATCGCCTACAATTCGGATATGATTGACATCACCTCCAACCTCTCGAGTATCTCCATCAGCCTCTTCAACTTCATCTAGAGCCGTAGGACGGTCAACTTCAAAATCTCCAGTTTTCCAAATTTTTGTGCCTAAAAGACTCAAAAAAAGTCCAACCAACCAGCTCACTCTTGCCCAATCTTAGGACGAAGTTAAAGAATTTCAACTCAGTGACAGACAAAGAGATAAAATAAATCAACTAACTGCAGAAATGATCTGCACTGACTTGCAGCCTATTTCAGTCGTTGAAAACCTTGGATTCAGAGAGCTCCTGAAACATTTGGAATCTTGCTATCCTATAGTTAGTCGGAAACTGCTCACTAAAGATTATTAGAATTATTGCTAGAAGCAGAGAATTATAACTTGCATCTTTGAAATAACTGGCTTTGATTCTAGTGAAATTATTTGTTACTTAGAGCTGTGAAAGTTTCTATCTTTTATTTTCTATTGTTCCACTAACGTAGTGTTCATATCATTCAATTGAAGGGCTTGGAGGACAAGGCGCATAAGTGCAGTTTTTGCTATTTCAAAAAATACCTGTTAAAAGTTTCAAAATTAAGCAGAGCCTAATGACCGAAAGAAAGTTAAAACTCACTTTTTAATGATTTAAAGTTGGATTTTAGTTGTGAATTTTTTACAGAATATACTTTCAAACTAATTTTAGTTGAGCTCATGAATATCTCAGTATTTTCAAAAACTGCACTTAGGCACCTTGTCCCCCAAGCCTCTTAATTTATGTAGTGTTCTCTTACACTTTAACACAGCCTTCCTCGAGCAGATAGAAGCTACCTTCTCCTGATCATCTGATGGTGCCGCATTGTAAGCGACCATGATCTGATCAGTAAAAAAATGTACAGTATGAGATCCAGAAAAATAAATTGAACCTGTCACTAACCAGTTGAATGAAATTATAAACAGTTCCTTTCATCTGGTTAAAGTGTGGGTGTTAGTTTTGAACATAAATAACATAAATTTTGAAAATTTCAGCTGGCTGCTTCACTAACTACTGACGATTTTCGAGCTTGGCAGATCAAATACAAGTGGAAGACCAGTCTTGAACCCACAAACTGATGATGACAGGTAGATAATTCTTTGTGCCAGAAAATTGCGAGCTCCTGCATTCTGCAAAAGAAACAGACCAGATTATAAGCACTGCACTAGTGAAGGCAAAAACAACAAATCTTATTTTTTCATTAAGTTTTGGTTGTTTTCCAGTTAAAATGTTGTGTAGGTCTGCGCTTGGCTTACAGCACAATAAGAGGGGAGGGGGGTCAAGCTCAGGCTTGCATATGCATAACCCTTAAAAAAAAAAAAAATTATATTTTATGTTTAAAATTTACTTGAACAGCCCCATAGATTCAAGCAAAGCAATGGTTGACTTCAATGAGATTGAATTCATTTTTTGTTGCATTAGAAAAGATCTTGAAAACTGGACATAGTATCAACAGACTTGGCAGGAGAAAATCCCCCGACTTTTCCCGATTTTCTTTGACCGAAAGAAAAAAATTCCCACACTTTTCACACCACACTTTGCTTTCATGGAACTAAAAATGAACATTTTGGCGTAACTCTTACTGCAAATGACAGAAACAGGTGAACCTTTTTTCTTCAGATATTGATAATTAAGTAACTAAAATTGCAATTTCTCATGAACAAGTATTCCTCAATTCACTAATAAGATTGTAACTCAGAAAAATGAACCCTCAACCAGACTGAGACTTGGTTTGATGGTATGGGCAGCACTGGTGTTTTTCCAGATTTCAAATCTGAAGATTTTCATCTTTCTGTTTCATAAAATTCCCTGAATTTTCCCTGACCTGATGAGGTTCCCTGACAATCCCTGGTTGTTCAAATCTGTTGACACCCTATTGGACAGGCAGTTTTATTATCAAAGACAACTTCCCCGATTAACTCTTCATTAAGTTAGATTTGATAGAGCAATATTTGAAGTTGTTACACTGACGACAATTCGTTGAAAGACAAAATTGATTATTGGTTTCGATGGCTCGAAGGTAAATTTACACCAAAATTAAATAGACATCGTGGCATTGAAAACGTTTTGCTTACTTACTGGTTTCACTTTCATTTGTGGCAAAGAACAAATTAATTATATTTAGATGCACATCTTGACCGTTTCTTCCCAAAGTATCTGTTTTAAGAACCGTAAAATAAAGCTCAAAATCCGCAAATTCAAAATATTGCGTTCAATTCATCAAATTGAACAGTTCACTTCCGCATTCGCATGCTTTCAGCTTTACTTTAAGTTTTATAAAAGGTATTCTAGCAAAAAAAATAACTGCAATGTGCCTCAGGCATAATTGATCAGTTTCTTGACAAAAATGAAAAAAGAAAGAGAAATCCAGTATTCTAGCAAATATTGTTCAATATCTTGATGGTTAGTTGCTACTGTGTAGATTCATCTTAAAATTATTACACAAGCTAACAAAAAGGCAGGAGGCTCCATGTGTCCTTTCCCAATTTTGATGAAGTTTTCAGCAAATGTGGTTCTTAGAGAACAGAAACACAAAGTACAATCGGCCTTACTACTGGACTTAAGGAGTCCCATGATAGGCTTTTTATAATTGTGAATTTTGAGCGAGGGAGCTAGCGGTCAAAGCTCACAGCAGACTAATTTTAACGATGATGCAGTGGAGGCCAAGCGAAATGCGGCACACTGCCTCATCTTTTAGGTCGAGGGTTCAATCTTCAGTGCTTCTTTACACTTTTATTTGGCCAAGATTAATTAATTATTGGTTATTGCCGCCTTTCAAAAGAAGCTAGATTTGGTGTTGCTGCAGAGCCTTTTTTGAGCCCCATCCGACGGCTGCATGAACTTATATTTATCTTCTTTGGCAAAAATTAGCTTTGAATGATGCGGTATTGTTTAATGGTACAAGCTGAAAGTAGTAGAACAATATGGGAGTACATTCATGGGGTTTTAAACAAGACAGCAAAGACGCTATTTTCATGCTTCATAACTCTGGGGAGCTACTTTCAAGTCCTCCTGGCAACTGCATGACCTTCAGTTTTTTTAAGGGTAAAATTATCTTCAAATGCAACACATTACTAGATTTTACAAGTTACATTTTTAAATTTCTGAACTTTTCTGCCATCTGTTACCTCCGGCTCCTAAAAGGACCTAGTCTGGATAATGTAAGCTTCTCATTATTTGTTGGTTCAGTTGAGTTGATGAAAAATAGGGATAGTCTCGTGAATATGGGCTGAAATAGGGTATTTTTGCATTACACACTTTTCCTTTTCTTCTGAAAATCAATAGAGAAAAATTAAAATGTACAAAGGAAAATTATGTAGTATGTACCTCTACAAATCTATTCTATGGCCCTGAGCTTTTCTCAAATGGTTACACAAGCAAAAGTGAAACAAATGAAAGAGTAACATTCCAAGACAGATTGAAGTATAGGGAACTTATCAGTCTCTGTGCAAACAATCCAGCTGCATTAAAATCGGCACATTCATGTTTTTTGAGATACAAAAGAGCAGAGGTTCTGAATATTACATTAATCTCCTTAAAAAACCGTTTTCTTAAAATTAAAGCTTTGACCAGGTTTCACAGTTGATTACCATAATGTGAGACTTAAAAGAAGTTCTTGCTCCCTTGAATAAATTAAAATTCAGAGAGGCCACTTACCGCCAGGTCACCGTGCATTATCAGCACGGAGAATTTGTCTACAAGATTATGGATCTGTTCAGCATCTGTCTCTAGAGGTGTAACATCGTAACAATTGATCAAACAAAGCCTGCTGCACAAGTAAAGAGGTCCAAGAACGCTAATGCTCCTCTCCACCTAAAAAGGGGTCATGAAAAAACCGTGAGATTTGATTAAAACCAAAGCAAACACTAACAGTCCTGAATAAGCAGGGGTCCGATCATTGAGAAAATTCAAACTGGACGCAGATCAGGATTATCATGATAGTTGGACAGTGTGAAACTCAAGATACGAAACAGCACTGTTGACTTTCAATATCTACTCATATCCTCCATTTTTATAGGAATGTTGTGGAACACATGTTCACTTCAAAATTTCACGAGGAAAATGATTCACACAGCGGAAACTCTGGAAATCAACTTCAGCAGAAAACATAAGAGTTTAAAATTGACTTTGGTTAAATTTGCACAAATTCGAAAGAAGTTATTTTAATAATCCAAATTCTATTTGGCTATAGTTAAGCAGAACAGTCATATCTACATTGCAGTGTTTCAAAATTTCATCTCTTATTTTAATTTTTTCAAAGGAAACCAACGAACATATCAACTCGAAATTTGTTGCAATTTTTCTTGCCCATACGAGGGTCAATTCTTCAAAATTCTAAGCCAGAATGTTGGTTGGTTTCCTTCCAAAAAATTTGGGAAGTACATGAGGTTTTGCAGCACCGCAATAAAGATGTGCCTGTTTTTCTTATCTTCATCCATCAGATACGTGTTAAAAATACATGTTAATATCGTATTTAGGAGTTGATCTCTGAATCTCTGTTGTGTCAATCGTTTTCTTCATAAGAATTTGAAGGGAAAACATGACATCTGTTTTCTAGTTTAGGCCTTGTTGAATGGCCCATTTGGTGCTGTTCAGCGAAAGTAAACCGAGGAGGTTGAGAATCAAAGGGTCTGCTTATGAGTTGTTTGACAGAATTCTCTGAAAGATACGATGTGTGTTCGTTTACGCTAGGTTCCTCCTCTTGAATTAAGTTTCACTCCTGAGCAACCTTCAAAGAACCAACTCATCCCTGCCCTTGGTTCCATTCTGTAATTTAATTTAGCTCTTCACATAATACTCGACCAACTTAAAAGAATTAACTGTGAATAACCGGTAACTGACTGGAATCTAAAACAGACTCGATAAATACATAAAATTTGATGAAGTTAAAGTGTCTTGCTTGAAGAAAAAATAACCTGTGGATTATTTACTATGAAATGTTGACACAAAAAGAAATCTTTCGCAAAATAAGAGTAGAATTCTGCCCGCCACTGTCTATGTGTAGTCCTTTACTCTTTTTTAAATTTTTTCCCCTCCTTTTTTAGCAAGTACTCACTAATTAATCCACTTTTTAGCAAATCAGTTCACTTTAGGTCGCAAAGTAAGATTTCCCCATCATTCAACTGATGGTAGAAAATATTTAATGCAATTTTTGGGTTTTTTGGTGAGATTCTGTTGTGTTGGCATTGATTTACATGCATAATTCCCTTGACACAAAGAAAAAAAAACCATGTTTAACGTTCTTTAAGATCAGCTGAATAATTGAGATTTTAATTTCTTGACTAATTATTCTGATACCTTGTTCTTCAGTCTGAAATTTCAAAGAGTCCATGAGGGTCCACTAACCACAAGAAATATTAAAATTTCGCTCACAATAATTATTCTCTGAGGGCTACCTTTCCCTTGGAGCACAGATCTCTGCTGATTAAACACATGACATTGTTCTTATTTAAAATGTGCGAGTTAAACATACATACATATGTATCTATGTAAATAAGAGTCGATTTCAAAACTCTCTCTCGCACTCTGCGACACCTAATCGCCACAAAACGCAGTCCTTCCACAACCTGTCAGGGACTTGGTACTCCCTCATTTTACTTAAAGCCTCCCATTGCCACCCTTTCACTGGGCGTCCCCTTTGTCTCCTCCCAGGAGGAACCCAATCAAGCATCTTTTTTGGCAGCCCCTCTTCCGTCATCCTATTAACAAGACCATACAAGACAAGCTTTGGTCATGACGTCCAACACGATGTTATTTTAAACACTTCCTCCAAAATTCAGCAGGGTGCAAAATCATCATAGTGCAGCTCTGTAGTTTTACTGGAAATTCAGAGGAAGGGCTTCCAATATGGTTTTGTCCAATGACTCCTATACTAGTTTACTTTAATCATCGCAGGACGTTCCAGCTGCTCAAGTTTTGTGGAGGACTCATCAATGCTTTAGCAGATTATCTCGTCAAACAACTGATGAAGCAAAGGATACAAGATCCTAGGTCAGGGTAATTGAATCTTACAGTCCGAAAATACACCATCTCCTAAGTTTGACGCTCTTCTCTTCATCCTTTTTGATCAAACTCAAAAATCTTGATCACTTTTATTCCACAGAACAGTGAGTTATTGATGTGACTTTTCAATAGAAATTACAGACAACAGATGAAAGGTAAGTATTGAATGATTTAGACAGGTCCTTTTAAAAAAAAATGAGATGATGTTTTTTTCAACCATGGGTATGGTTTAATCACAAGATTTACTTTTCTATCATAATGTTTAGGTGCAATGACAATACTGTCAAAAGTTCATAACGATTAATGAAGCTATGGCAAAATACTATTATCTTACAAGTAGTCACAATTTTACTAATCCTGTGAGTAAAGCGGTAGAAAGAATAATGGAGAAACTTACCATTTCGACAGCGGAATTATCGCTAGGATCAATAAGGAATGCTATAAAATCTGCATGACACTGTTGGGACGATTTAATGACATCTTCAACGAGTTCGCACATGTGTATGTTCATTTGATAATAATGATTTTCATGATTGACGGTGAGGATTTCGTCCCTTAGACTGGCACAGAGGTTCGCAGGTCCCACCAACTACCAAAAAAAAGAGGAAAAATTAAACAAAAAAATCAAAGGTTTGTCATTTGCAGTTTTTCATTTGGTTACTTTGAAATACTCATACCTACTTGGTAACTTTTAACACTTGGTGTGATAAGCATTACCCACTTTGAATGCTCCTTAAATTTGATATTGAATTAAGGATGCGGAGTCTCGATTAATTTTTTATCTATAAAAAGAGAATCTAAATTAAAATAGACTGATTTCTTAGATACATAATAGTTCAATTGCAAAAAAATTCATGATTTTGGCGTGCTTTAGTTGATAAAATGTGTATAATTTTAACACGAGGTTATGTTTTAATGTTCCAGTTTGAACCATCGCAAATCAATGAGTCAAATATTTCAAGAATGATATGGCCACTAAACCGGTCCATGGAAGATTTTTTGAAAGAATTTAGATAAACAAAACAACTAAAGTGAGATTAAAATAATCTTGTTCTGTGACATTTATTACTTGCAGTCAATCATAACACCAATTAAATATACTATCTCCTAAAACATACATCGTTTTTTTTTTTTTTTTTTCATTTATCTGCCCCTTCCAAGTTCAAAATTTATAATTTATCTCTAAACGTTTTAACAGGCAACAACTTGCAATGGACCACTAGACAAGGAAAAAATTTAAGCATGATGATGTTTTGATTGACAAAGCGCAAAACTCTTTGTAACGTTGCGGACTTCCTGTCATTCTTAATTGTTGCTTAGGAAAATTAGTCACTGTAATTTCTTGAAAACTTTATTGATTTGTCTTCTCTGATGGAATAATATTCTGTATATGAGTTGCAAGCTATGCAATCGGCCTAGGGAAGATAAAATAGGGGTGGAAAGTTTTAAATACTGCAGAGGAGCTACACTTCGGCTGCGGTGTCTGAAAATCTCTGATCACATTCCTTTTTTTGAAGGAGAACAATTCAGAATATAATTCCTTGAATTTTCACAGAATTTTTCTTGCACAGAGAAGAGAAATCATGGACGTTGAGTAGCTCCCTATTTAAAAATTAAATTATGACAGGAGGTCCGCAATGTTGCCAACGAGATACGTGGTTGGTAGTTTCAGCGTCAATATGTATCCTCATCAAAATTTCAGTGAAACACAAATTGCACAATGAAAATTGCAGAGAGAAGCTTTTAACAAAGATAAGAATGCTTTTCAGTGCATCAATTCAAAGTTTCCAAATTATAAATTAAAAATAAAAAAACATAATCTACTTAAGTCAAATTGCACACCAACCGTTGCCATGACGGTCTTTGCGGTATGAAAATATGGCAATCTCAATATCAGCAGTACTTCTGCGTAGCTATTGCTCTATTGTTGTTTAGATTTCAGCAACGCAGGGCAGGGAAAAAAAGAGTTCAGTGAAATGCCTGCCAAAACTGTTGAAGAGCGTAATTTGATTCAAGTAGACATCAGTTCTCATGTGATTGGGAAATTCAATTTTATTGTAACCAGTGCTACATAAAAACAGAGGCTTTTGGTAGGGAGTTGATTTTGTAATTCTCCTTGCGCAAATGCTGTTCTACATGAGAGATCTACGCAGGGACAAGCACTAGAATGCTTAAATTCTTGCTTTATCTATAGATCCATTAAAAAAATTGAAACAAGTCAACAAAAATTTGCTGTGCGCCCCCTTCTGCTAGCCTGTTTATGTCCAGAGGCATACACATTTCTGGATTAAGAAACAAAGATTCCATTTCTACACTACCTATTCTGAATAAAATGTATTCATACTTACCAGTATGGCAAATTTTTCCTTTGCTGCTTTCTTGCCAATCATTTGAAAGGCTGGCATTGAGAAAAGTGCATTTGATGCGACTGTACTATCCATTGTAGCAATGTGAATTTGAAAGAGAGTGTTGAACGATTGATGACAAAATAATCTGGAAGGTTTATAATTAGTTAGTTATTATGATTTTAAGACATTCAGCGTCTCAGGCTATTAACGTCTTTACAGATAATTTTGAAAATGGGAGTATCAAAATAGATGAGAACTTAACTATTCATTTGGGGAAATTTACATTGACTTGATCTTTCATGATGACAATATGTCAATCAATGATAGTAAAGAAATAAATATACAGGTACAAACATGCTTTCAGCCTAAACAGGAAAAGAAAATCAAAAGAGAGACGCCAAAAGGCTTATATTTTTCTAATTCACAGCAGAACATGATGAGCCACCATACTTCTATTTTCAAGTCCTCTGCAAAGGTCCAGCCCAATCCATGCGTTCTAACAGAATGCTTGCCGAAGTGGTTTTCATAGATACTCAACAAACAATTACATGAAATCCTGACCTGCAGCGTAGAGATCTCAATCTATCAAGATCTATGGATAAAAAAGCCCTCAGATGTCGAAATCTCTCAGAAGCAGAATAGAGGCTATTTAACAGAATTTTCTTAGTACTGCAAACTATAACATTGGGATTTAATTCAGACACAGGCTTAACCAGTTCAGCGGCCCGATAATTGAAACTGTATCTGCCTGACACGACAAGACGATCTTGATCATGATGTCTTATCAGCAGCCTAATTATTGAAATTTTTTGTTTGTTGGGTAGACATATATGACATAGGTTACAAGGCAGAGCGTGATTGGTCGACTTTATCTTATCGCTGCTTTGTCGTGCCTATGTCAGGTGGAACTCACGACAAGCTGAAGGCACCTCTTAAGTTTCTAACAGTATTTCATCCATTCCACCTGACAAAGGCCCGATAAAGCAGCGATAAGACATAGTCGACCAATCAAGCTCTGCCTTTAAGCCAATGTCGACCCGACAAACACAAAATTTCAACAATCAGGCTGCAGGCTGCTTTAAACTTTCAATAATCGGCCCGCTGGGCAGGGGAACCCGGGGCTAACGGGAAATTAAATTCCTCAGTACGCCTTGTTTCTGCAGGCAAAGTTTAGCAAACCCTAGAACACTCGAGTGACTACTTCAAGCTTGTGAGTTCATTGGGCAAAATACTTTAGAATTAAGCATGAAGGAATTAAGAGTAACCGAAAATCAGACTGTTACCTCTGGTGTAGTGCAAATATTGATGGGCACGTACCTCAACGGAAATCTGGGTGATCCCCTCACGGAAGGTTTGCAATCTGCAATTACACTTCGACACAATGTCCGCTAAAGGAAGAGCAAGTTAAATTATGCTTTTCTTAGCTTTCCTGTTCAAGTTTCCCCAGATTTGTTAGCGTTAGAGTCCGAGATTGCTTGAGCGAGCCGGCCAGAGACGAGAATCAACGAGAATGAGGTTATGTTGTTATATTAGGTGTTTTCGCGCCAAAACTGAACTAGAGTCCCTTCCCTCTCCCCTCACCCCTCTCCCCTCCTTATGTCCTTCAGTCCGACAGCCGACACGTTTCGTTTCGTTCGCTCGTGGTTCGTGGCTCTGGCTACGTGATTCTTTACTTCTTCGCGTGCACGCGTGGGTGGCATGATGATGAGATGATCAACCCTTTTGGTCCAACACCGGTGATTTCGGTAAACCTTTCATTCATTCTCCGTTTTGACATGTTATAGCATATTGTTCGATTTTCGTCGCGCGTGCGAATTTTCTGAGTGCGATTACCATCAGACATTTTGTCGCGTTTCAACAAGTGACCTTACATCCGTAATGAAATCGAGCGACGTTATTTGCTTCGGTTCTCACACCTCTTCTCGCGCGATCTCGTACTCGTAACTCACATGTTCATCAACTTTGTGTCGTCGAATTTGAGAGTTTCGCCTATTCTCATCGTGAAATTAGTGTTCAGTGCGTGAGTGTGAACGGTTCGTGAGTTCAGTGTTTCCCGACCAAAATCATGGCAATCTCTAGCGTGTTTCAAAACTTGGCCTCTACCTACGTCGTTTCTTCCTTCCTGAGATCTGGTTTGGTTGATTCGGGAATCGAGGTTTGAGATACTTTACCTACTTTTGATTTAAATTCTGCCCATCTACGAAGTAATTTCTGCATGATCTCTCAACGTTATTTCTGATAAATAGCGCATTTCATGTCCACTCATGAGGTAGACTCCTCAGACCATGATGTCCGCACCAATTTGTTGGTATCTACAATGAGAGAGACCTAATACTGTATGGTTTTGATGTAAGTAAAGTATAGATATGAAACGAAAAATGTTTCCATCTTATCTTGATTGCACACATTATCATCGCAAGAACTGTTGAAATAAGTAAATCTGAAAATTTTCGAAACATTCAAAATGTGCCCTATTTCAAATTGATTGCTTTTATTGGGATTTTGCTGGTCTCAACTCTTTGTCGCTGATAATATTTCCTCTCCTCAGTTGTTCTTCTTCTCTTCCTGGCAAATGTGTTTTTCCTACTCTCTGATCCCAAATGCAAGTGATGCTAGGCGGCTTCGCCAGGCAGTTGAGGTAGTCGTTTATTTTGGAATATGAGACTCATGGAATTTCATCTTTAAGATTCCTTCTTTGCTCTTTTAAGCTCTTCGGCGCTACTCATTGAAGTATCACTCTTCTCTTGAAGAAATCAATTATCGATAAATATTTAAGCAATTTCATCAATCGGTGCCTGGTTCGAAAACTTCCATTTGCCGCCCCCCCCCCCTTTCTTGGAAGAGGTTTTGTTTTAAGGAAGCAGTTTCATCGAGGTTTGGAAGAAGTCTCCAGAAAATTGATACCCTTGATTTCCCCAGAGATGTGTGAGATTTGGGAGGAATTGCAACTGCGAGCATTCAGAAATATGGTAGCGGAATGATCTAATGAAATTTCAAGTAGAAGATCGGCGAGATGGGGAACTTGTACCCAGGCGCCATAGGTGGAAAGAGTTTGGCCTGTACTTAGATAGTAGAAAATCGGTTCAATAGGTTATGGATTGGCTCATAGTGATGCAGGCAGATGGGAATAGCCATCTAGGGCTATTTAAATAAAAAGAGCCAAGGAGAAATTCTGAAATTAGAATGTGTTAGAAATTTTCATTGATAGATGTTGTGTGAGAACCATTTCAACTTAGGTATGTGTCCTCCATTCACAAACCCGCACTCTCAGGCATATCTGAAATTGTCAGGGATCTCGTCAGTTTGTCAAAAATAATTCCAGGAACTACCTACCTTTTCCTAATTTGGTGGCAATCCTGTTCAAAGAATCAGGATGAACGCATTTCGATCAGTTTTCTTGTATTTTAGATACTTACCCATGATCGGATATTTTTGAAATCGCAATGGAGACACTTGTAGGCATTTTTTGACTACAGCCATTGGAACGTCTTGGAAGATTCGACGAGGGTGGGCGACATTGAATATTTTTCTTGACCATTTTCGACTAGTACGAGGGGAACAGCAAGGTGAAGGAGCTGACGGCGACAAAGCGGGTGGGCTTACGGGAAACCCTACCGGATGTGTCTGGCTGTCTCCTCAGGTCTCGTAGGTAGATAAGGAACCTTTTTCCTCGGCGCGGCGTCCAAGCCCGGACGATTTCAGCTCATTTCCTTCTGATTTTCTCACTTTGGTCTTTCGAAACCTCGACTTTGCCTTTTGTTGATCTGCCGAATCAGTTCTATCTCAGTCCAACTCGCAGGTGGTCCCTCCACCCCTTTCCCTCCGAGTGTTTTCTCGGACAGTGCCGTCGAACTTCTCACAACTCTTATCTAAAAACGTCCTTTCTTCGCTCCCCATCACCCGCAACTCTTTCCATTTTCAGTTTCAAGAATGAATTTCATGATCCTTGCACGATCAACACAGCCTCCACCCCCCCCCTCCCCCCGCCGCCACACCGGACGGCAGATGACTGCTTTCAGTTCAGCTCGCCCACCCACTGTGAGACTGTGAGAGTATCTTTGTTTTAAATATGAATTTTCTCGATGTCAAGGAAGGACTTTTCTTTGCCGTATTTGATAGCAACTATTATCTGTTCAGTCAATTGATCTCGATCACGATTTTTTCTTTTTTTTTGGGGGGGGGGAGGATTTTGGCACAGTATATTTTCGATCGTTTTTGTTGTATAGTTTTTTCATTGGGGGG